TAAACCCTCTAAACTCTCCAAACCCTCTAAACCCTCTAAACTCTCCAAACCCTCTGAACCCTCTAAACCCTCTAAACTCTCCAAACCCTCTAAACCCTCTAAACTCTCCAAACCCTCTGAACCCTCTAAACTCTTCAAACCCTCTGAACCCTGAACCCTCTGAACCCTCTGAACCCTCTAAACCCTCCAAACCCCCTAAACCCTCTAAACCCTCTAAACCCTCCAAGCCCTAAACCCCAAACCTGAAGAGTTCTTCCCTTTCTCGACGCTTCCGCCGTGGCCCGGGCTCTGACTCAGCATTTGCGTCAGCCGCAAGGGGCGCCCTGGCTCTTGAGGGCTCAGGGCTTAGGAGGTTTTGGGTTCAGGGTTTAGGGTTTAGGAGGTTTCGGGGGTTCAGCTTTGGCTTCAAGGGGTTGAGGGAAGTTGAGGGACATTGGGGTTCAGGGGCTTCAGGGTTTTAGGGGATTTAGGGGGTTCAGAGTCAAAAGGTAGGGAGTTTAGCGCAATTTGCGGGGCTGGGGCTTGAGGGGCCTTGAGGGGCTTTAGGGAGTTTAGGGTTCTGTAGGGGCTTTAGGGGGTTTAGGGCTCTGTAGGCTGGATAAACTCTAAATCCCAAACCCCAAACCCCAAACCCTAAACCCTAAACACTAAACCCTAGACCCTAGACCCTAAACCCTAAACCCTAAACCCGAAACCTTAAACCCGAAACCCGAAACCCTAAACCCTAAGATGCCAAAGGCAGGCGAAGAAGCCCGTCCTGGCTGCCGATGAAGCGGCTGCCGGTGCAGCGGAGGGGCGTGGAGGCTCCTGTCCGCTCTGCCTGCGGGCCGTCTAAGAGTTTAGGGTTTAAGGTTTAGGGTTTAGGGTTTAGGGTTTAGGAGTAAGGAGTTACGACTATTTGCTCAAGAACCCCCCCCCCCCCCCAAAAAAAAAAAAAAAAAAAATCTTCCTTGTAAGGGCCATGTTGGGATTACGTTCTTTGATTACTTGGGAGCTCTTAAGCTAATAGTAGTTTAGGGATATGGGTTAAGGCTTAAAGACGAGGGCGCCCAGGGAACAAAAACTCCTGCTTTTCGCGGTTTTACTTCGTCCTTGATTTTCAGATCAATCACCGTTTCGGGTTTAGGCTTAGGGCTAGGGTTTAGGGTTTTTAGGGCGAGCGCTATCCCGCCTTGCCACAGTTGTGCTTTTTCGGCTGAGACCCTAACAGAAGTGCTGCGGAACCATCTCGGGTCGAACAGAAAGCTCGGCCTGACAGTATCTCAAAACACTAAAGCCTCAACCCAGACATCCTAAACCCCAAACCCTAAACCCTAAAACACTAAAACCCCAACCCAGATGTCCTAGCGCTCTAAGCCCTTAAACAAGTTCCTCAGGAGCCTGGCATCCTGAATGACTTAAGCCTGCAACTAGGTTGGCCCCTTTAAGCCCCCCTGAAAGACTTAGGGGTTTAGGGTTTAGGGTTTAGGGTTTAGGGTTTCGGCTCGGGTTGAGAGACGATTCTCGTAAAACCAAAAAGGAACGATGTAAAACATCCACGGGGCCCACCTTCCCACCCAAGAGAAACCACTGAATCCAATATTCTTTGGTTTTTGAATGTTCCCTTTGGGACGGTTCCTTAATAAGGGCAATTTGTGGAATCTTCCGTAGTTAAGTGATATCTCGGGAACCTTTCTCAATTAAGGGAAATTTTACCCCAAACCCCAAACCCCAAACCCCAAACCCCAAACCCCAAACCCCAAATCCCCAAACCCCAAACCCCTAAACCCTATTCCCTGAAACTAAGGGATATCCGAGAGTTAGATGTCCTGCGCTTCTTCCGGGCGCCAACGTCCGAAACACTGGCTGCGTCAGCCTCGCCTTCAGGGTTTCGGGTTTCGGGTTTACGGGTTTGGGGTTTAGGGGTTTAGGGGTTTAGGGTTTAGGGTTTAGGGTTTACGGTCTAGGGTATAGGGCTTCGAGAAGTTTAGGGTTTAGGGGCTTAGAGAAGTTTAGGGCTTTGGGTTTGGAGCTTAGGGTTCAGGACATTTTTTGGAGGCGCATGGGTAACTATAAAGTCGGGTAACTTCTACTATATCTGTGATTAAGGCACGTATGACCCTACTCTTGAGCATCCATCTGGGCAGGTGCAGAATGGGTGTCAGGGAAGTCGGGATCGTTGCGCGGAAGGAGTATCGGGTTTTATGAGGGAAGAGGCTCAAGGGGGGTATGCAACGCAAGGTTCCCGAAAACTTCCCCACTACTGCCTTAAACGGAGTCTTAAACAATTTGATTGCTCAAAGATGTGATGGATCAACGGTATGTAAGCGTGACTACCATGGACCCTATACCCCAAAACCCCCTGCAACTGGTGCTCTTGTTCGGTCTGTAAAGTAGTACTTGAGTAGTGTTTGAAGAAGTTTTCAGAGGTTCTGTGTGTAAAAAGGGGGGGTCCCTAAGCCCTAATCCCTAAACCCTAAACCCAAACCTGGGGGAATACAACGTGCCGACTTCCCGAACTCCCAAATTGGAACTAGCAGCGTTCCAAAAGGCGGGGTCTTCCTAAACTGGAACCCACCCAAAAAAACAAACTATGTCCCCAAAACTCAGTGGTTGAAACCCAAAACTTGGGGTGTTCCCCCTGACACAAACAGCCCTAAATAGGGATTAAACCCCCCCCCCCCCCCCGATCATACCTATTAAGGACTGTTGGTATAAGGGGGAACATCCCAAGCTGAAACTCTAAACCCTTTACACCCTAAACCCTAAACCCTTAAGCCCGAAACCCGAAGCATGAAACCCTAAACCCTAAACCCTAAACCCTAAACCCTAAACCCTAAACCCTAAACCCTAAACCCATGAGACGGGTCTGCACAGGGCCTGGCTCAGGCTCATCGGCTTGCGCAGTGTCTATTGGCCTTTGGAGTTGGAACTCACTGTTGGTTTAAGGGTTTAGGGTTTAGGGTTTAGGGTTTAGGGTTTAGGGTTTAGGGTTTAGGGTTTAGGGTTTAGGGGAACCCACTGTTCCTTTCGGGTCCAAGAGGCTTAAAGGGCTTAAAGCTTAAAGGGGTTTAAAAGGGTTTCAAAGGGTTTGACGGTTTTATAGGGTTTTGATGGCCTTTAGGGTTGTAAAGGGTGTTGAAGGGGCTTCAGAGATTTTACAAATTTCAGGGCTGTGAAAGGGTTAAGGGCTGAGGCCTTGGGAACTTAAACTAAGTTAAACACAGCTCGGAAACCGTACTATTTGCTAAGGTTCGCTGAAACCACAGAAATGGAACAAGAAACAAGATGTCTCAACGTCCCATAATCAGTACTTTCAGCCCGAAACCCGAAACGCCGAACCGTTACGAACCTTAAACCCTAAAACCTAAACCCTAAACCCTAAGCTCTAAACCCTAAACCCGAAACCCTAAACCCTAAACCCTAAACCCTAAACCCTAAACCCTAAACCCTACACCCTAAACCCTAAACCCTAAACCCTAAACCCTAAACCCTAAACCAACCAGCTGGCCTCGTCTCCGCAGACGTCACCTCCTGCCAGGATTCTGCGGCCCAAAGCCGGGCTGAGGGCTCGATCAGGATGTAGGGTTTAGGGTTTAGGGTTTAGGGTTTAGGGTTTAGGGTTTAGGGTTTAGGGTTTAGGGCTTCTTGGGGTGTCGGATTTGGGGTTACTGGGGTCCGGGCTTTGTTTGAGGCCTCGTCTCCTGGTGCTTCTACAAAGCTGTCTCTTTTTGGCCAAGTCTTGACGCAGCTTCTTAAAGCCTTCGGGTTTAGGGTTTAGGGCTAGTTGATGTCTCTAAGCCCGATACCCTGAATTACGAGCCCTAAACCCAAAACCCTGTACCCTGAATCTTGCCGTTTGAAGGATCGAGCGCTTGTTGGGGTTCCAGGCTCAGTGTTTTGCGTAGGGTTCGGAGAATGGGGCCCCAAACGCTAAACCCTAAACCCTAAAGCCGTTTCATGTTAAGGGTTTAGGGGTTCACTAGGCTTCGTAGTTTAAGGCTTTTGAGGTCAGGGCTTATATAGAACTTTCGGGAGTCGAGGGTCGCAGGTTTAGGGTTTAGGGTTTAGGGTTTAGGGTTTAGGGTTTAGGGTTTAGGGTTTAGGGTTTAGGGCTGAGGGCTTAGGGTTTGTGGATGCACAAACTGAAACCCCGGCCCTCGGCTGCGAGACGACATGACAGTTGCTACATTCCCAGGTAGGCAGGCTCCTGAGGGTTTAGGGTTTAGGGTTTAGGGTTTAGGGTTTAGGGTTTAGGGTTTAGGGTTTAGGGTTTAGGGTTTAGGGCTGCTACATTCCCATGTGGGGAGGCTCGCCCCAGTGGGCCCTGGCTATTCTAGCTCAAGCCCCAAACCCTCCTAAGCCCAAACCCGAAACCCCACGAACAGGGCCACTCAGCTGGGTTGTAGGTCTTCGCACAGGTTTCTAGTTCTCTTCATCTTGACCAGATACCAGCTTTTTCTAGGAACTGTAAACCACCAAGCGCTCCAGGCCACGGACTTGCGTCATCAAATAATCTCCTCCGCCCCTCTCTCTTGCAACTTGAAGCCAAAGTACAGGAATTCGGTACTTAGAGTGCCTATATAGTCCCCTGATCCGGAAGTTGATTCTGGGGATCCAAAGGCCAACTGTCAGAGCCATCCGGCCTACTTTCATAGCCATCTTTTGTTTCTTGATCCAACCGGGCTTGCATTAGCATGACAACGTATCACGTGGGGTGGGTGCATCTAAGCTGTGGTCTTGTTGTCTAGGCGCCCTTGCTGAAACCACCAGGCTCCGAATTAAGACAGGAATCCTGCAAGGGACCACAATTCAGATACACGCCCACGTACCTCAATCAATGAACGCACCACTGACCCCCACAGGGGGAGCAGGAGTCAGTGAACGAGCATTGTGCTCGTGTCAGTGCGCATCGAGCTTGTCTCAAACCTGATTTGCGCATGCTCGAACTTTGTCTCACATGGGCACCAAAGGCGGAGGTTTTTTTTCTCCAATTCCACCTTCAAGGC